GGGCACAGGCAAATACACATAATTGTTTAAAAAAAGGAAAACATGGAAATTTGACTGGCCATGGTGATACTAGGGATTCTGGGTTAGGAGAATTGCAAGTTCAAAGCCAGCCTGGGGAAGGAAATCCAGCCGACAGATATGGGGAGCACTATCTGAGTCCAGAATAGTAATGCAGACACCAGAGCCTTGCACATGCTAAGCACACGCTCCACCAATGATGGAGAGCCCCAGCCTGTCACACGGTAGCTCAGTGTCTCCCTTACTAAAGTGTAAGAGCAGTGACTTTGCTCTTCACTGTATGCCCTGGTCCAGTGCTCTACGCTGTTTGTAGTTATGTGCAAAAAAAAAAAAAAAAATTTGCTGATGTTTGGGTGTGGCTGCTGCATTCCCTTAATCCCTATCACTTAAGGAAATGGAGACAGGAGGTCAGGAGTTCAAGGTTACCCTCAGCTATACAGTGAATTCAAGGCCAGTCCAGACAGTCTGAGACTCTGTCTCACATAACGAAGCATTTGTTGAAAGGAATAAAAAATACTAAAAATAACTGATCGTGATGCAAAGCTTCATGTGCAAGGCATTATACTGCATGGACATTCATTTGATAAATGAAATGCAGTCCTCACCAGGTTACAACGAGTCCACTAGAGTCTTATCCCAGGGAGCCTAGGAGGTGGCAGGAATTGTGTGAGCTCCCTGGCATGGCCCAATAGCTGTGTTTTCATCAGATATGCACTGCCTTTTTCTTGCCACTGGGAGCCACTGAGAGGGTAGCTCACTGACTCACTGCTGTTTTGACTTGGAATGAAAGGCTGTCAGGGACAGGCAAGGAGGAGAGTAATGCCGCAGATGCTGGTCTCAACAGCAGGCTTGCTTCCTAGAGGCGGGTGTGCCTGAGTAACAACAGACAGCGCTGAGGACAGGAGGAGGAGGAGGACGGCCAGGAGGGGTGTGTGTGAGAGCAGAGACTCAACCGCAGCAGAGTGCAGGGATGAGGGAAGGCGGGCAGATGGAGAGGAGAAGCAGGGGGCAGCAATGGAGATAATAAAGGGAGTTCAGAGTGGGCAGGGGTCGGTCCCAGACCGTGTTCACCAAGCAATGAAGATGGAGGTTTTGCCATGTGACAAAACCCTGCAGTCAGGCTATGGGGTGAAGATGACAAATGAGGTGTTTGCTCTCAAGTGTGTGTTGGAAGACAATAAACAGTAAATATAAAACCATGCCAGGAACTGCTGCCCCGGAAAAGATGGTAAGACAAGGATGCAGCAGAAAAGATGACGAAACAAGGGTGCAGCGGAGACCCCGTTAGGTCTGGGGCAGAGGTCAGAATGTCAAGAAAGAGTCAACCAGGTACAAATAGAGAGACAGTAGTGAAGTATTTATTGGTGGGAGAGGGGCTTGAAGCACAGGGATTCTGAGGGAATGGTTTCTGATGCTCTGCAACAGCAGGAAATCTGATTTGGCAGAAGCACTGTGTATGAGGGAATACACGCTGGTGGCTTTTATGTTGTATTTATTCACTGTGTGTGTGTGTGTGTGTGTGTGTGTGTGCGCGCGTGCGCGCGCGCGTGCGCGCGCGGGCACACACAGAGGGCAGCAGACAACTTTGTAGGAGTTGGTTCTCTCCTTCCACCCTGTGGGTCTTGAGTATCAAACTCAGGTTGTTAGGCTTGGTTACCTGCTGAGCCATCTCACCAGCCCTTGAATATTTTAAAAGGAAAGCGCTTTTAGGTTTTAAAATATTACTGGCAACTGTAAAGAGCATTTTGTCAAAGATGAGCACAGAAATGAAGGAGCATCTAAGAAGCTACTGTGGTTCCAGATGTGAGACGGCAGCTTGGATCCAGACTCTAACAAAAACGTTGAACAGGGTAGACGGGGCCACGTGGAGGCTGTAGCACTTGCCCGTGCTGCGGATACACCGAAGGAACTGAAAGTCAAAACACTTTTTTAGCTTGAACAACAAGGAGTTGTCATGTCTCAGGACAAAGAGCCCTGGGCAGAAGTGAATTGGGGGTGGGGGAGTTCAAGACATCTATTTGAGTCACATTAGGTTTGCATGGCTATTAGACATCGAAGTGGATATGTCAAGTGGGCGGTTGGACAAATGAGTCTGGCACCATGGAAATAAATTTAGGACTCACTGACATTTACAGAGTATTTAAGCCCTGGGACTGGATGAGATCACTGGACAAAGAACGTGGAAAGAGAAGGCCAAGGACTAAGCCCTAAGAGGCTCCAACACTTAAGAAGTCAGAGAAGAGGAAGACTAATAAAGGCTAGCAGGAGGCAGGAGGGGAACTGGGAGAGTGTGAATTCCTACAAGTTGGGGGGTGGGGGTATGGAGAAGGGTGAGATATGAGCGGGTAGAAGTTGGGCCAGAGGAAATTTTCAGTTACATTTCCTTAGTGTCTGTGTCTCACACACTTGGTTAGAGGTCTGATGACAACACAAAGGAGTCTTCTTTCCACCATGTGGGTCCTAGGGGTTAGAACTCGGGTAGTCAGGCTTCGTGGCAAGCACCTTTGCCCCCTGAGCCATCATGGTTCAGGTCAGGGAGTTTTAAGAGATTAGGGAAGGCCTCTCGGAAGACTGGATCTACGTGAGACTGGCATGGGCCAGAGAAAAGCTTCTAGAGGGGACAGCAGGTGCAAAGCCCTGAGGCAGGTTCCAATTGCCACCTTCTAGGGACATATGTCAGCCACACTGTAGCTGAGACACAGAAATCCGTGGGAAGAAAATCAGAGATATCTAGAGACAGGAACCCACAGGGCTTCCTTGTAAGCCACAGTAAGTGGTTTGGATATTCTGATATCCTTGGAAAAGCTAAGGACAGTCAATGGCTATTGAACCGCTTAAGGTCTGTTTGGGTTGCTTCAGACAGAATGAATTATATAGCAGGGCCAAAATGAAATAAGGGGATTAGGCTATTGGGGCACTCTAATTTGTTTATGCAGTTTTCTCTCCTACCCCTCCTCCCTCGCCCTCTCATCCATGGTCTTGAACTCCCATCCCTTTCCACCCTGGCCAGAGTTGGTAAATCAAATGTATGGGTGACTCAGAATCTCAGAACGGCTTCGGGGTCAGAAATCATGGGGTCTGTGGAGCCGCTTAGGCAGAGGGAGAGCGTGCCATCATAACCCCAACAACTAGAGGTCTCTGCCCCTCTCCCATCCCTGCTGCCCTCCTCAACCTTGCTTGCACCTGGGACAAAAGCTGAGCTCGCAGTGTGGCAAGCGATGAGTTAAACTGTGCGTGGCCTACAGACGTGAAGAGGAGAGGCGGAGACCAA